TCTGTCTACACCAGTCACTAGCAAGGAGAATGTGATGACCAGACTCAGCCTCCCGTGAAGCAAATGGTCTCCCACACCTGAGCAAAACAGAGCTCTGCAGGAGCTGGCAAGCTGTGGCTTGTGGGTCAACTCCAGCTAGCTGTCTGTTTTTTACTGCCTGCAAGCTAAGAATAGTTCTACATTTTTAAACGATTGCATTTTAAATGGCTATATAACTACCTATATAAAATCCTCAATTTTGTCTTTTGGCTCACAAAGCCTAAAATATTTACTATCTGGATTTCCAAGAAAATGTTTGCTGACTCCTGTTCTGCAGCAGGGAGGAAGGGGGAAAAGAATTACTGGATGGGAAATCAACTATCTTCTTGAGTCATTAAAAACCTGTAAATTGATTCAAAATAGAGAAAAGCCAATTAAAGTCCCTACTTCTAATATTTACCTTTATCAACGCCCTTTAATGTTCTACCTTTGCTTATGCTTTTATCAATCAGTCATGGGATACACTTAGAGCTATCTAAAAGGTGGTCATCCTAATTTTTTCCTTCATATATTCTGAAGTGGTTCAAGGCACAGAAGCACTGTGCTTGCCTTCTAAAGTAAGTAATAAATTTGCTTTTAGGTGGCAGCAGAAACTATCATATGTGACTAAAGATCAACCCCCCCCACTCCTATTTTAATAGGTCAGCTGGCAGGATTTGTATTGCTGTCAGTTTTACAGTGAAGAACAGTGATATTTTGGGACCAAAGTAATTTTATTTCATTGAAATCTTCGAGAATTATAGGGAACTCTAATTATTTAAAGGAGGGCCTCATAAGTTTGGATTTATAACCTTGATTTCTACTATCCTTTAAGTTATATAAATGGCAAGTGATACTGATTTATTTTATTGATGGGGAAATACAGGAGATTAAATGAGCTGTGTGTGTCATCTGCAATGTCAATACTGGGAGCACCAAGAAGAAAGGCCCAATTCAGGTATGGAATAGGGCCCATGAGTTGAAGATCATGCCTCTGAAATGACACTGGTTTTGTCCTCTTGGCATTGACAATTCCTACACTGATATCATACACCGACAACTTTTCACTCAGGCAAAAAACTTAGACTTGACAATATTTAAAATATTCTCTATGCATAAGAATCGAACTCTTAAAAAAAAGAATAAACCAGAAAATATAATCCAGTATTATACATATATTAATAATTAAATGCCTAAATGGTTACTCAAGCTGAATGAACCAAATAAATGAGATTGTCACTCACGAGGATTCTTCTAAGAACTTCCAAATTAATTAGGTATATATATGTACTGCTCTCCATAGTCTTTTGTATTTTCAACCTATGTATTTGACAGACTGTGTTTTTTATATACATCAGCATTGATTTGTCCCTCATATTTTAAAGAGATACAACTTTAATTCTTAACGTATATTATTTGGAATCACCAACATACATACTTACTGAAAAAATCTGGGAGTGTTAGATAAATTTTTCTGATCAAGTCTTTTTTAGATCCAGTTCTATTTTCCAGTCTATCACCATCTCCACCACAAGGATGTGACAAAGGATGTCACCAAAAATACTCAACATTCAGCAGGAAAGAGGTTATTTTCACCAGAAACTGCCTCAAATCAGGAAAATGCTACCTTTAATGTTATACTTCAACTGTGGTAATTAAACAGTTAAGACTGGCTTAACCTTTACATTTACAAGGTGTCAGAAGAACAACAGATGTCTGACATTTTTGGAGATAAAACATATTCCCCCTTTGTCTTGTCTCTAGAGATTGCAAACTTATAGAATGTATTTTCATCTATTTCTCAATAGCAAAAATGATTCTCCAGAAGATGAACATTGAGTAAAATGATATAAAATCACAATGACATTTGGCCTGAAATGTACAGGACATAAAATTATGATTTGAAAATGCCAAAACAGTTCTGGAAACCAGCAAGTGGATCACAAAGAAATGGCTAAGGGGAATCTTTCAATATTCTAATCAGTGTAAATGGCCTAGTCTTGACCAACTAAATTTGAGGCTGCCTCTCCTAAACTGAAAGCTATCATTGTCCATATCACTCATTTGGTAATTAATTATCAACTGTTCTGTGACATCTGTACTTAGGCATTTATTGTTAACTCACATTATACCTTTACTTTAAATTGAACATGTGTATGCCTCAATCTAAATCTTGCTTTCAAGTAATCCAGGAGTTGAAAACAGTCTCTCTGTATTCCTTCAGCTAGAGTGATGTTATATTTTTTTTTCCTCAAACTAGTACACTTAGAAATTGAAAGTGAACAATAAAAAAACCCCAAGCATTAATA